TATATGGGGATCAGGGAGCTGCTTGAGGAGACAGTCTGTCCGTTATAGGAGCTCAAGTGCTGAGCTGTGAGCTTGTTGTTCCATTCAGAGCTGCTGGGCAGGTATATTTAAGTCTGCTGCAATGGAACCCATAACCACCTTTTTTTCCCAGGTGCTCTGTCCTGGGAAGGTGGGGCTTTATTTATAAGTTCTTGACATGCTGCTGCCTTTTTTCAGAGATGCCCTGTCCAGCAAGCAGGTAGCCTAGTCACAGTCTGCCAGCAGAGGCATTGCTGAGCTGCCATGGGCTCTGCCCAGCTGCTATGTGAGCTTCCTTGCTGTTTTATTTATAGAGGTATAGTTAGAACTGCCTTGGGAATGGGAGTCTGCCTCAGTAATGGCAGACTGTCTCTGTAATGGCAGACTGCCTCAGTAACGGTGGATTGCCTCAGTAAGGGCGGATTGCCTCAGTAATGGCGGATTGCCTCAGTAGTGGTGGACTGCCTCAGTAATGGCAGACCACCTTACCCCCACATAGCTGGACCATCCCAGGTCCAGCTGTGCTTGCTGTGAAACTCTCAATCCAGAGCATTTCAGATTGCTGGTCTTTGTGGGGGTGGGACCATCCAGGCTCCAACTGAAAAGGAGCCCAGATTTGTGTGAATTTTTGTGCAGGGACTCACTGCACCTGCTGAAACAGCCATGCTGGAGACTCATGGCACTTTTTTGCCTGGGAATCTCCTGGTCTGTGGGCAGTAAAAATTCATTTGGAAATGTGGTGATCACTCGCCCTCTGCATTCTCACTGGGAACTGCACTCCAGAGCTGTTCCTATTCAGCCATCTTGTATCATCTCTGCTCAGCTAATTCTAAAGGAAGGTGGAATTGTATGGTTTGAGAGCTTTATGAACTTTTTGGAACATATTTTCACAGGAATTTTTACCTGTCTCCTTATATGTGATATATATGTATTAGAAATATTATAGTTACAATTATATTATATGCATATTGCATTTCAGTATCACAAGAAATAACACATATATATATTACATATATAGTATGAATTACTATATACACATATTCTGTCTTGTTATACTGAAAAGCAATATACCAAAAGTTTTACTTTTTCTAGCAACTCAAATGTACACCGTCAAATACAGATAGCATCCGTTTAGGAAAGCCTGGAATACTAGTCTCGCTGAGTTAGAGATGACTGATGAAACCCAGGATTCAGTTTATTCATCTTTAGATTCCCAGTGCCTGAAATACAGAAGCTGCTTAATCAAAATTTGTCGAACATTTGTTGAATTAGTTCTCCCCTTTCTTGCACAAAAGCAAAGGTGGAAAATCTTTTATAGTCTCTCAAAGATCATTCATTCATTCAGCAAACACTTGACTGGGAGCAGGAATATTAAGATACAAGGCAATGCCACTGTCCTCCAGCAGTTCCTAGCCTAGTGAGGGAGAAAAAGCAGAATGCAAACCCAATGCAATATATGAGGGCCAGTCCTCTCTCCTGTTTAATTTTTCTATGGCTGTTTTGTCAATTCAAGGACCTGATCTGATAGCCAAAGAAGGCCTAGGGAGAGAGCTGTGACCCAGAGAGGCAGAGATAAAGGTACCCAGATACTATTAGATCAGCAGACCAAATATTTGTGCATGTCATTTGCATGTTATACTCTGCATTAGTAAAATTCCCTGGAACAAAGTCCTAAGTCATAAAAAAGCTAGGCTGGGCTAGACAAACTAGATGAAGACAAACTTCATCTCCTTCAGTTTAGCAGATGACATTCATAGGCCTGAAGATTTATTTTCCTTAGTCTACCCTTTGATCCATTTATTCATCCAGTAATCATTTATTGAGCACTAACTACATATCAACTTATCACTAGATGCTGGAGATACAAGTACCAAAAACAACAATAACAAAACCTGGTGGTGATTGTTTTAACTGAGAAATGAAAAAGGTCTTGTGAAAACATAGACAATAGGAAAGCTTCAATGCTGGTAGAGTAAAGGAAGGCTTTTCAGAGGGAATGCAGATTTTTGTAAACCAAGTACTTCATTCCCCTGGAGCTCCTCTATCACACTTTTCATATCCATCCATGAATATTTACACTGCAGCAAAAAGCCTGGTAGCATATTATTACTATTTCCCTAAAGAACCTTACAATACAAAGTACGACCAGCACCTGGGCTATTAGAAATGCAGGACCTCAGGCCCCACTGGAGACCTTCCCAATGAGAATCTGCATTCTAAAAAGATCTCATGTGTGTTAACATTTGAGAAGCACTCTCCTAGAAGATGAGGAAAGGAGAGACTCATCTCTGAAAATCATTTTCTACAGTGCTTCTGTGCTTGAGGATGAAGGCTCCTTGCACTGTTCTGGAGAAGACTTTACAAATCATTTCATCTATCCCCTTATTTTACAACAAAGACTCCCGGTCCGGAGGGGTGCTCAGTATGGTGCAGGAGGCAGGGTGGGTAGAAGAAAGTCTGTGAGTCCTTCTGTCAGCCACAGTTGATCCCTCATACAAGTGGAGTCATTTAACTAATGTGGTGACAAAAATTCCAACCTCACAGGCTTGTCAGAAGGATTGCAGAGTATGCAGGTAAAGTGGCTGATAAACAGTAAACACTCAATAAATTTTAATAGTAATAACTAGAGACAGAATTGGGTTAGATCAGAACAAGATGTCTAAATTTCTCAATGAAGTGCTTTTCCATGGCTGTACCCTGTTCACCTGCCCCCAGTCCTCATCTAGCCAAAGGCATCCCCCTACCCAACCCTAACACCCAGTACTGTCTCTGAAGTTGAGACCATTAAAATATGGACTACTTTCTGAAATCACTAATTTAGAAGTGTTTCTTTACTTTGTTTGTTCTAATAATTTCTATTTCTTTTTGAAACATAATCCAGATAAGGGAATTCTCAACATATGAATTTGGGCAAGAACATATGTCTCTCTGAGTGGTGACCAAATGTACTGCTAACTGCTAGTGAACCTGGAGATAGCTTTTGGAGGAGATGGTTTTATTTGCATTTGAGCCCTTCCTGTTATCTAGCCTTTTCCTGCATGCCTTATTCTCTACCCCTGTGCTATTCTTTCACTCTACTGTATTCAAATAAATCCTTTCTTCTTCCATTCCTTTCCCCCTCCTTCTCAATTCTGTACCTCCCAGAACTCCCTGTACATATATGTAATTACATATATATATAATTAGGTTTTATTATATATATTAAAAATAATTAACTAAAAATAATTATAAATAATATGATATAATTTAATATATATTATTATTAAACTATAATATAGATGATTGTATATTATATATAGAATATATTGAATATAATATATATTAAAAATATATAATTAGATATATACATAATTAGAAACACACATGCACCACCCTTATCTATGTTCCATTGTGCAAATGGTGAGGGCTTTAATTTACCAAATGAATCATGAAAGAAGTTATTATGGAATAAGAGGAACTCTTCTCACAAAATATCTCCTCATCCATGGGGGCTTGTGAGAAATGGCCCTGCCACCACTGGGTTAACAAGCCACAGATGTCACCAGTCCCCTCACAGACACTGCTGCTGCTCACAGTCACACTTCCCCTCCCCCATGACCTTCTCTTTTCCCTCCCCTCCAGGCCTTTCTCTTGATCAAGAGCCTTTCTAGAGTTCTTCTGCTAAATCCTAGGCCAGAAGACAGCACTTCTACCTCAGCCAATTTGATTGCATGCTGCCTGGGAGATTTCCTGAGACACTCTCAGCTGCCGCATTAAAACTGCATAAGAGTCTAACTCAGGAGGCCTAATAATAGCACATTTCATCTGTGAGACACTTTATAAATATTAACTGATTACGCTGCCCTGTCTCCTCACAACCTCTGGGCTTCTGCATAGTGGACATCATTCTCCTTTGCCCTCAGATTACTCTGGGAGAAAAAAAGCTGAGACCTGAAGAATCTTTTTCTGGATATTCTAGGCTAAGACATCATTAATGCCAATGGCCTTGCAACAACCTCCACTTAAGTTATGGCTTGGAGTGAGAAGGGATTTAAATCTATGTTTATTTTGTTATTTTTCTTAATTTTTAAGTTCCAGGGTACATGTGCAGGATGTGCAGGCTTGTTGCATAGGTACACGTGTGCCACGGTCATTTGCTGCATCTATCAACCCATCACTTAGGTATTGAGCCCAGCATGCATTAGTTATTTTTCCTAATGCTCTCCCTCCCTCAATCCTTCCCCATGACAGGCCCCAGTGTGTGTTCTTCCCCTCCCTGTGTCCATGTGTTCTCATTGTTCAGCTCCCACTTATAAGTGAGAACATGCAGTTTTCTGTTCCTGCGTTTATGTGGCCGACAAACATATGTTTATTTTAAAAGAGACTGGATTGAATTTCTGATCTCTGAAAGCCAGATTAGCAGAGAGAAAACAACTCAACGATCTAGGGCAGTGTTACTGAACTACAGCCAATGGGTCAAATCCAGTCTGACACCTGTTTTTATCAATAAAGTTTTATTGGAACACAGTCAGGCTAATTCATTCATGTGTTACCTATGGTTACATTTGGGGTACAACATCAGTTGAGCAGTTGTGACAGAGAACAAATAACCACAGCAAAGGCCAAAAAAATATTTGCTATTTAGCCCTGTAAAAAAAAGTTTACTGACCCCTGGTCTAGGGAACTTAAATTTTGTTCTCATCCTGTATGATCCCTAAATTTCTTTAAGCAAATCTCCTCCTTCCTGGACCTCACTTTCTACATCTGTAGACTGGATAGTCTCCAGGGTGAACCACTGCCTTTGACTTATTCTCCCATTGTTCTTTAAGTGTTAGCATCTAGTATGTCAGTTTTGTCTTATTACTACAGCTGACTTCTTTGAGGGCGGAAAGGAGTTTTGTGTGTCTCATGAATCCTCCGAGGCACAAGGCTCTATGCTGAGCCCTAAAAATATTCATTGAGTGTAACTTAACTGGCTTGAATTATATTTTTTTTCTCCACAGAGAGATCTCTCAGAATGACATCTTGGAGGTGATAGAGGCAGATGTGTTCTCCAACCTTCCCAAGTTACGTGAAATGTAAGCAAGAAGCCTGGGGAATTTGCTCATGGCCATTCTTGAAAATATCCTTAGAGTTCTCCTATATTCCTAGGAAGCCCTGGCTCTGCCATGGCCTCAGACCCCTAGATTGTCATTAAAAGATGTCTAAGTCAGCCTAAAAGGCACTGTTATGTGTCTCCATCTAGTGATGCAGGCCACAGCTCAGAGCCTAGTCTCATCCTGTGCTGGCCTATCATCATTTTTTGCATCATAGACCCAAGAACATTGCCAGTGACTGTGTGCAAGCAGCTCTACGTCATCCTTTCATTCAAAGTTATTCCAGTCAAAGCCCAAAATAAGTCCCACATGATGTACTTGAAGTTGGTTAGACCTTGTCTGACTACTAGCCTATGCCATATATTTACCATGAAACCTTGGCCAAGATAGATAACTATCTAAGACTTGGTTTCCTCATCTATAAAACTGAAATAATAAAATTACATATGTCATAGGATTGCTGTGATGAATAAAGGAAATGATAAATGTCAATTAGATCTAGCATATTGACTGGCCTAGAGTGAGTATGTTATAATGATCCTTAGTTCCTTTACTACTCCAGCAAATTTACTTTCTCTTCTTAATGTTCCAGTTTTATGTAATAGCACTGCTCACACAGATCTACTTCTGTTTTATACTAGTTTATAATTACTATAAATTATTTCATAGAATCATAGAATGTCAAACCAGAAGAGACTTTAGGGACTGGTCAACAATTTTTCAATGTATATTCTGTGTATCACTAAAAACTCAGGAAATTATTAAGTATTTTTACAAAAGGAAAACACTTTAGGGTCATATAAGACTAGGAACCATTAGGTTAAGAAAATTAGATAGGTTTGCCTATTTTAAGAAAACTTTTCAGAGTCTATAATATGCTAGTACAGGTTTAGAAGGTTTAGAATCTCCAAGAAGGATACTGTATAAATATTTGTCAACTAATGTTCCTGGAAAGTGTTCTTTTAGAGATTGTTGATTCCCATCTCACAAAATTCCCACGGAACACATTTGGAAGGCCAATGAACTGCCTCCTGATTTTACAGATGAAGAAGGAAAGGCACAGAGAAGCTGTAAGGCTTATCTAAAGTCACCCGCCTAAATCCACACACGAATAATAACTTGAACATTAATCTTTTGACTCTTCTGTATCTTTTTAACAAGGATGGATTTTGTTTCTAGCATTTGTCAAATATCAGTAGGGGACAAATACATATACACTGTGCATATGCGTGTGCATATGTGTGTGTGAATTTCTTTAGGAATGATACTCAGTCTGTTCATTTGGCAATTCCCCTTTCCCTTTTCCTTTCCTCTACCCTCTCTGCCTCCCACCTTCATTTTTCCTCATTGCCTCTGCACTCTGCAACTGATGTTCTCCCTCCCTCTCCTCATTATCTTCATGCTTCTTCCTTTCTTCTCTTTCTGCTTGGCCTAGTTGGGAAGAACCCACAGAGATTATCAGAGAAATGAACCAAAGGGCAGCCAGGCCTCTGGGCAAGGTCAAGCAGGTATCCTTTGATACAGTTCAATGGACAGTCAAGGTAATGGTTTGGGTCTTTCATCTCTTTCTTGCATGAAGAGGTGCTCACCTCCATGTAGCACTGACTGCACTTAAAATGATTAATTGCCTTGTACTCAGATCTGGGTAGCTACAGGTTACAGCAACATAAAAGCTAATGAAACAGGAAGGAACTAATTAACAGAGAGCATCTTTGCAAATACACATTGATCCAGCAAGACAAGGAAAGGGCAGCCTCCCTGTGTTGGAATCCAAATATGAACATGCTCACTTCCAGGCTGTTGATCAAGAAACAGCACAGGCCAACACAGGGCAGAAGTCACCCCTTTCCATGAGCTCTGAGTGAGCAGCCTCAGTCTACTGCATAAAGGCAATCAATGGCCATTCCCAGCTACTGTATGCTTGGATTTCATCGCTAAAAACAAAGAGATATTGTTTTTCTCCCAACTTTCATTTTTCTTTGCCATTTCAGTCTTTCCCTCCAATATATTTTTGCCCCTTACTCTTTTTCCTTATCTTCTTTTCACCTACTTTTGTTCTTTTTCATTCCCTTTTCTCTTGCCTCCCAACTAGACAAAAGCTCATTTCCCTACATCAGTCTCATTCCTACCCTCTTAGCCTCCTCCAACACTGACAGAGTCTTACTGCTAAAAGATGCAGCTCTGCTCAGGGTAAAGACAACTCACCCAGCCAATGCTCTGTTTGCCTCTGGTGGACAGGGCCCAGGTAATGAGAATTAAACATTTACTTTGCACAGATTAGTGTAATAAAAGGCACTGAATGCTTCCTCAATATTTGTTGAAATGATGGATGGATGGATGGATGGATGGATAGATGAAAAGATGAGTGGATGTATGGATGGGATGAATGATTTACTATGTACTCTGCAAAATATGAAAAAATACTATAGCATTCCTTACCACTGAGATCACTAGCATGTTTTTTCTTCTTTTACAGCAGAATTGAAAAAGCCAACAACCTGCTCTACATCAACGCTGAGGCCTTCCAGAACCTTCCCAACCTTCGATATCTGTAAGAACTCATGTACTTTGATACCCCCATTATGATTACATTGTCCAACCCTATTTTACAAAAAGGCTCATTTGTCTCTGGGGAACAATTGCTTTTTATCAAGGATGGTCGTAGGGGCAGAAGTGGAGGTGGAGAGATACTTGGTGATGAATTTTAGTTTAGTCTAATGAGCAAATTCTACTAATATAATTGCATTTTGTTTTCATTTGCAAAAACAGACATAAGAAATGCCATTTGCATTAATGGGATTGTCACATGGACCTCTTCCAGAACTCAGTCATAATTTAGTGTTAATGAGATGTAGCCAAAATTTCTGCTAGCATTTAGCTTGTGACCTTGACTTCAAAGCCATTGTCTCTCTTGTTCTGCATATATGCATTTTTCCTTTGATAAATTACAGCATTTTATTTTGTATGTTTTGGTTAATAACAGACATAGCATTTTATCAGCAGAGATTCCTAGTGTTTTGGCTCTATCCTTTGGGCCTGCCCCTATCAGCAAAAGCACTGCTTCCTCCACCCAAATGGCTTTCAGATTAGCTGAGGGCTTGACAGAGCCATGAGTGTTATAATGGGACCCCACAAAATAACAGATAAGAATTTCGACTCTGGAGTTAAACTTTCTGGGTTCAATTACTAGCTAGTGATCATAGGGATGGACTTAACCTCACATATTGTTTCCTCATCAAGAGAATGGAAATAATAATAATGCATGTATACCTGTTATCTTTTAGCATCATAATCATACAAAACCAGCCACTACCCAAAGATGGAGGCCTAAAGCAACAACTATTTATGATTTTTCATCTGTCTGTGAGTTCATCAGTGGAATAGTCCTGCTGATCTGAACTATGTCTACCCGACCTCAACTAAGCTCATTCATGCATCTACTGTTAATTGGCAGGTCAACTGGAGGTTGGCCCCGCTGGATGGTCTCAATTGGGATGACTCAGCTTTCCTCCAAGAGGCACTCATTTCTAACAGGGTAGTACAGTAGCAATCCCAGGGTTTTAAGAGGGACAGCTGAAGATTGCATGCATCTTAAGGCCAAAATTCTGAGCTAGCACACCATCTCTTTTGATGCATTCCGTTAGCAAAAACAATTCAGTGACTCATCCAAATTCAAAAGATGAAGATGTTACTCTTGATGGGAAAAGCTGCAAAGTCACAACACAAGGGATAGAGAAAATACAGAATCGAAGCCACTTTTGCAATCAGTTTAAAGTATTTAAAATTTTTTGCACTGTGCCTCTCATAGTAGATGCTCAGTAAATATTAGCTATTAATGATGATATGATTCTCTGTCTAAATTTTCATTCATAAGAACTGGAGTTAACAGATATAATAAGAAAACACTGGGCCATCCTGTGCCTTAGCTCTCTGAATGAGAACTTAAGGAATAAGACTTAATAGAAGACAGTCCATATGACCTGGAACTTCTGCTTTCTGATACGTACCCCAAAAAGGGTCTCAAAAAGAGAAACAAGGTCATCTGCTTCTAAGTTACTGTCAGAGGTAAGCTGGCTTCACGGGCACATAGGACTTTGTGCTCAGAAGTGCCCCCGCACTCAGAGGACTGCACACTGGGTTTCATTCTCTGCTATTACCATCTTGAAATGCTTAAACAAGAGGCTCTGTATTTTCATTTACACTGCATCCCACAAGTTATGTAGCCAGTCCTGCTTAGAGGTTAGGGTTATGAGCTCTTCTAGTTTCAGGCTTGGGAGTCTTGATCCCTAAGTTGATCATGTTCCTTAGAGACAGAGGCTTTGCTATGCTCTCTGCAGAGGCTAACCTGCCTAGGCACACAGCAGTGGAGAAAACGTGACAACAGAGAAAGCATGAACCTCAGAATCAGAAAATCTAAGGCTTCATCCTGATTCCAGCACTCAATAGTTGAGAAATCTTGGGCCAATCACTGGATTACTGAGATGCACATGAGCCTCAAACAAGATTTAGATATGAAAATATTTTGTCAACTACAAAGTGCTCAAAAACATTAATAAATGTATTTGTAGACAAATTATTTCTGGTCAACTACTCAAAGTCTACCATCCCATCCTCAGAAAAATTCTAGTAACTGTTGAATAGAAAATTATGCTGCCAATTAAGACCTGCAGCTTTTACCTGCAAGTGCTTGGCATGGGTTCAAAAAGAGGAAGTTGGAGCATGCCTTTGCATTTAAATGAACAGAATGAAAAAGAATCTATATATGAAAAACTATGACTTCAGAAGGACTGGAATCCAAATAGAACACTGATGTTTATTAGCTAGCTAGTTAATTACTGTCTCTAAACCTCAGTTTCCTTATCTATAAATTGAGTGGTTGGAAAAAAACAAATAAGATTATGCCTTTAATTAAAAATACTTTGCAAATTGTTTTGTATAAAAACTACAGAGAATTATACAAATATAAAATTATTAGGACCTGTTACCAAGTTAGTTTCCTTCATTCTTTCTTTTCTTTCCTTCTTTCTCTCAACTCCATCTCTCCCTTCCAGATCCTTGTCTCTCTTTGTTTTGGAAAATGCCAGGGTGGAATATGGGGAGCCTAGAGCCTTCAGTGACAGAACAAATGCTCTCTAGAACATGGAGAGGCATCCCAGAAGCACCTTCATTCATAAACTATTAAAAATGGCTAATGCAAAGCACCCCTGCCAAAGACAGACCCAAGAAGAAAACCAGCCCATCACATAGAGATATTCCCTAGCCCAAGGTAATAATCGCATATCTGAGAATGGTGGATTGGGAACAGGTAAATGAGAAATGAGGGATCATTGTAAAATATGAAAGCAAAGGATCCAGAATTTGACCTCAATATTGGCCAACACCTTGCAGCCAGCACCATTTGTTCTTATTAATGAGGACCTTTGGCCTTTCCCTTAGGAGATGAGGGCAGGAGAGATACTTGAACTTGTAAGGACGTAGGCATGCAAAGCACAGTTCCAGACCAAGGAAGGGAGAGAGGGAGATCCTTGGCAGAAGAGAGAAGACACAGCTATGCCTTTGCCTCTGAAAAAGGTTGAAATCTGTGCCATCTGCCACTAAGTCCATCCTCCTCTTTGTATCTTTTTGTCTCACTTTGGGGTGTTGAGTAGTCCTCAGTCCTGTATCAAGTTCTCACAAAGCTGGAGGTGACTGATTCCAGCCACATCTTCTTCTGAGAGAAGGTTATTGTTCCCAGGGCATTTTAAACCTGCTCTTTAACTAAACCTGAGGAAAGAGAAGCACAAGTAAGGATTTGGAAGGGATTATGTCATTGTCGAGGGATTCTCCTTGATTGCTCTAAAAAATAACTTATCATTCTCTTAGTCAGTTTGAGCTGCTCTAACAAACTACTGTAGCCTGGGTAGATTAAACAATAAACATTGTTTCTCATGGTCCTGGAGGCTGGAAGTCCAAGATCAAGGGGCCAGCTAGTCAGTTCTTGGTCAGGGCCCTCTTACTGGTTTGCATACAGCCATCTTTCCCTTATATCCTCACATGGCCTGACCTTGGTGCATACACACAGAAAGAGAGATCCCATGTCTCTTCCTCTTTTTGTGAGGGCATTCACCCTATCATGAGGATCTTGCCCTCATGACCTTATCTAACCGGAATTACCTTCCAAAGGCTCCACCTCTAAATATCATCCCCACTGGGAGTTAGAGTTTCAACATAGACCTTTGGGGAGGACACAAATGTTCAGCTCATAGCAGTTATATAATTCTACACTGTACAAAATGCTTGCACATCCACTGCTATGGTGATCTCCCATTAGGGAGTTGAGACTAAGAGTGTTCTATCTTAAGCCTTTGACTTACTGCCAAGGGTGGACTTTTCCCAATTGTATGCTCCTTCTCAATGCATGGCAACTCTGCCCTCTAAAGGCACTTCTACCTGCCGTGTGTGTGTGTGTGTGTGTGTGTGTGTGTGTGTGTGTCTGTGTGTGTGTCTGTGTGTGTGTGTGTGTTTATATATATAGCATATATATATATATTTATTTATTTATTTATTTATTTATATATATATATATAGAGAGAGAGAGTGTGTGTGTAGGTAGAAGTGCCTTTGGAGGGCAGAGTTGCCAATATATGTATGGCTAAGACACTCTAACCCTTTGAAATATTTTCCAAATTGCTAAGAGGGATTACCTAAATTCATAGGTAGTCCTCTAAATTAGAAAGATTTTGTCAGAGAAACGAAACCTAGTTAAGCTTCCATCTTACAGCAGTTAGCTTGGGCTACTCTAACAAAATACCATAGGCTGAATTGATTAAACAACAGAAATTTATTTCTGACAGTTCTGGAGGCTAAGTCCAAGAGGTACTGGCCAATTTGGTTTCTGGCTTGCAGACAGCTGCCTTCTCCCTGTGTACCATTAGAGTGAGAATGAAAAGGGGAGAGTGAGAGTGAGAGACAGGGAGAAAGAAAGTGAGAGAGAGAGAGAGACTGAGACTTGAGTGAAGAAGAATGAGTTTCTGATGTCTTTTCTTATATAAGGACAATAATCCTAACAGGTTAGAGCCCTACTCTTATGACTGCATTAATTACCTGCTGTAAGTTCTATTTCCAAATACAGTTACTGTGGGGATTAGAGTTTTAACAATTAAGTTTTGTGAAGACACAGTTCAATCCATAGCACATCTTCCGTGCTTATTTTCATCTGAGCAGCAGTCCTAACAGCTTTGTAATCCAGCAGCGAGGTAGAGGTAGATGGCAATGATTTCATATATTCTTTGGGATGATGAACTACTTGCTTCAAGACAAAGAAAAAATGCAAAATCGATGAAGGAATCCAGTGGGTACCAGTAGGATTGAGTTGTTGGTTTTGTTTCATTTTGTTTTTTTCTTAAGCCAGGATAAATGTTAATCATCACAGCCACTGAAGCAGGAGATTACAAGGGGTAGGGGCGAGTCACTATTTGACTTGAACATCCTAATTGCTGCACATGTGTCCATAAAATGTTGTTCTGAAGTTCTCCCTGTTGATGCCATTTCACGCTGCTCGTTTGATGGCAC